GGGGGGCTGAGGCAGGGGCATCACCTGAGGTCACGAGTTCAAGATCAGCCTGGCCAACATGGTGAAACCCTGTCTCTACTAAATATACAAAAAATTACTCAGGCGTGATAGCACATGCTTGTAATCCTAGCTACTCAGGAGGCTGAAGCCCGAGAATTGCTTGAACCGGGGAGGCAGAGGTTACACTGAGTCAAGATCACCCCACTGCACCCCAGCCTGGGTAACGAGAGCAAAACTCTGTCTCATTAAAACAAACAAACAAACAAAAAACCTAGGGGTCAAATGATACGCCTGCAGAGCCCAGCAACAGGACGTGGTGGGGTCAAAGACTCCATGACAGGGGAGGGATGCAAGAGAGGAGGAGTGTGAGGGGGGCATGGGATGAAAAGGGCAGAAAGCCAGTCCCTGGGCTCAGTGACTCAACGCGCCTGAGACTCACACCATGGGGTGAGCCACTCGATCAATCGTCCAGGGAAAGCTTCCGCACAGACTTGGACCTGAAACTCCACTTGCCCAGCCCACTAGCTTCCTTCTTGCATCAGCAACATGGAAGCGGCCCCTCTACCCTCGGCAGGACTATGAAAATGAAACAAGTCAACCTACTTGAAGCATGCAGCACATATCCCACAGACCTAACAACTAGTACCAGATCCTACTGCTGAAAAAATCTGCCTCCCCAGGCTGTAGCGAGGGCCAGGCGTGAGTGATCTGTGTGCAAAGGGCATCCTCTCTTCCGCCTCCCATGTCTCTTCACCAAGCCAAAGTCAAGCTCCAAAGGGCCTTCATTCCCCAATGATTCTGCCAAGCCAGTTCCCTTGGCTGTGGTTTCCCTGGATAGTCGCAAGGACACTGGGAATCTTGTTTATGAAGTGAATCCTTATGAAGAAATTAGTTACTTCAGTTAGGGGAATAATACTGTGGTTGTGCTGTAAAGAACCACCTTTAACTGTTCCACACATATTTAAGACAAATTTATGGCTGAAATTATATACCTGGTATTTGCTCTGAAATATACCAGGGAGCAGATAGTAGAGAAGGATGAAGCAAGACTGCAGAACACTGACCGCTGCTGAAGCTGGGTGATGGATACTGTAACTCTTTTGTGCATGTTTTAAAAATTCGATAATACATTTTTAAAAACGATTTGTAGAAATGGGGTGTCGCCATGTTGTGTGGGCTGGTCTCGAACTCCTGGGCTCAAGTGATCCTCCCACCTCAGTCTCCCAAAGTGCTGGGGTTACAGGTGTGAGCCACCATGCATGGTGAACTATTTTCGTCTTTTTGAGACAGTCTCGCTCTGTCACCCAGGCTGGAGTGCAGTGGTGCGATCTTGGCTCACTGTAATCTCCATCTGCCAGTTGCGGGCAACTCTCCTGTCTCAGCCTCCCAAGTAGCTGGGACTAAAGGTGCGTGCTACCACGCCCGGCTAATCTTTGTATTTTTAGTAGGGACAGGGTTTCACTATGTTGGCCAAGCTGGTCTTGAACTCCTCAATCTCCTTGAACTGGGGAGGTGGAGAATGCCATGAGCCGAGATTGCGCCACTGTACTCCAGCCTATGTGACACACAGAAAGAATGTCTCAAAATAAGTAAATAAAAATATACCACCATAACCACCACAACAAAAATCTACTGAAAGCAGCTCCTGGGAGAGGTGGATCGTAATCTGCAGCAGGGGATATACCAGGTGAGCCTGGATCCTACTGGAGCACCAGAAAGCAACGAAGCGCTGGTGATTAGAGCGGTCTTGTCCTGAGGACATGGGAGCTGACTTATGAGGTATCTCACTGGCTACATTTGAGACAAATTCAAAAAGAATCATGCTTCCACCTATGTGAAGTTCTAGAATAAGCAAAACTAGTCAGTGATGGAATAGCCTCTAGGGGACAGTCACAGGGATCACATGGGAAGGGGCCCTCCCAAGCTTTCTGAGGTGATGGTTACACTCTCCCTCCTGACAAGGGCTGGGTATATGCAGTGGCCAGAATTCACTGACTGGTATACTAAAGATCTGTGCATTATTTAAAAAGAAGAAAGAGACTGCGCATGGTGGCTCACCATGTTGGGAGGAGCATTTGTCAGGAGTCCCAAGACCAGCCTGAGTGAATCTACAAAAAAAATTTTTAAAGAAAAAAATAAAAATCCAACTGAAAATAAATACTAAATTCTTGTTAATATGTAAGAGGGAAGGTTACAACTTCCTGCTATTTAGTTGGAAACGCCTCACAAAAATAAAGTAAGGCAGGAGCAGTGGCTCATGCCTGTAATCACAGCACTTTGGGAGGCCGAGGCAGGCAGATCACTTAAGCACAGTAGTTCAAGGCCAACCTCGGCAATATGAGACCTTGTCTCTAAAAAAATTTTAAAAATTAGCCAGATAGGGCCGGGCACGGTGGCTCAAGACTGTAATCCCAGCACTCTGGGGGGCCGAGACGGGCAGATCACGAGGTCAGGAGATTGAGACCATCCTGGCTAACACGGTGAAACCCTGTCTCTAATAAAAAATACAAAAAACTAGCCGGGCAAGGTGGCGGGCGTCTGTAGTACCAGCTACTAGGGAGGCTGAGGCGGGAGAATGGCGTAAACCCGGGAGGCGGAGCTTGCAGTGGGCTGAGATCCAGCCACTGCACTCCAGCCTGGGCGACAGAGCGAGACTCTGCCTCAAA